TTCGATGTACCATTCTCGCACAAAGCACATTGATGTTCGGTATCATTGGATACGCGAAGTGATGGACAAGCAGTTATTGGAACTGATCAAGATCCACACAGATAAGAATCCTTCTGACATGATGACCAAGGGTGTCATCAGAGACAAACTGGAAGTTTGCAAGCATCTGATCGGGATGGACTTCAAGTGAGAAGTCAGTTGTCCATGTGGGCGTGGAGGGGGAGAATTGTTGGCTCCATCCACTACCCACATGGTAAGGAGCCCACCATCCACATGGTGTGGGTGGTACCATGTGGTAAAAGAAGCTAGTGGAGGGCAACACCAACTCACTAAAGGAAGATAGTAAGGGTGGCACCACCTTGGCCAATTATGGCTATCACTTCACCTACTCCTCCTCTCTTGGTTATAAATTGAGATGAGTGAGGAGGGGTTTTATATATATCAGAAATTGGAGAGTGAGAGCTGTGAGTTGAGTGAGTTTCATCTCCTCCTCTGTATTTTTGTATTTTGCTCCATTTTAGTGAAAATTCTCATTTCTGTCCGTGGATGTAGGAATTGGGCCGAACCACGTAAATATTGTGTTCTCTGTGTGTGTGAAATAATTTGTCTGGGTGTGTTTGATCCTAACAAGCAGGATGTTAGTTTTCTTAATTTTACACAAATTCTAAAATAACTTTTGGTTTTAATTGTCATCCATTGCAGACATATGAAAGAGAGAGCATACAGAAGTGATTGGATTCTGATCATCGAACCTGCCCTAAAAGCAGACAACTTTTGGCTCACTTGTCACTAGCACCAAACTTTGCTCTCCGGAATTTAATTTTGCAGTGGTGTGAGAAGAACAAATTTCCTCTCCCAAAAATAGACATCCTGCAAACTTGGAGAGTTCCTTTATGGAACCCAATGATGAGATCTCATCCATGGTTCGAAACTTATCCTCCAATAAGTTAGAAGAGCAGAGAAAGGATGTGAGGAAGATCCGTATGGTCTCCAAAGAGAGTCCAGAGAGAAGAATTTTAATAGCCAACGGCGGTGGAATACCACCATTAGTTCAACTCCTTTCCTACCCAGATTCTAAAATTCAAGAACATGCCGTGACAGCTCTATTAAATTTGTCAATTGATGAATCAAACAAGAAACTCATATCTAGAGAAGAACCCATTCCATCCATTGTCGAGATCTTGAAGAACGGAACTATAGGGGCCAAAGAGAACTCAGCAGCAGCTTTATTCAGCTTATCGATGCTTGATGAGAACAAAGCGATTATTGGGTTATCAAATGGTATCCCACCATTGGTTGAGTTGTTACAGAATGGGACAATTAGAGGTAAAAAAGACGCTGTCACTGCTTTATTTAACTTATCACTAAGCCAAGCGAATAAGGCTAGGGCTGTTGAGGCTGGGATCGTTGCACCTCTACTTCAATTACTTAAGGACAACAATTTGGACATGGTTAATGAGTCCCTCTCGTTGTTGCTACTTCTTGCATCGCACATAGATGGGAGGAGAGATATTGGACAGCTCTCGGTTATTGAAACGCTTGTTGATTTCATCAAAGATGGGACCCCCAAGAATAAGGAATGTTCAGCGGCGCTGCTTCTTGAGTTGAGTTCAAGGAATACGAATCTCATGTTGGCTGCTCTTCAGTATGGTGTGTATGCAGACGTGGTTGACCTTTTGAAGAATGGGACTAATATAGGTCAAAGAAAAGCGAATTCAATTTTGCAGCTCATGAGTAAATCTGAACAAATCCCTTAAGGGTTGATGACGGCAATCTGATTGGTAATCTACCTCGCATTTGCTGGAATGATAAAAATTGTTGGTAATTGATTGTGTAATTTACTACTTAGTCGCAGTTGCTCTTTGTGAATCCTGTCCAAATATATTGTTTTTTTTCCCTTCCCCTTGTCGTCTTCTTTTGGACGAAATTGTTATATGTATTAGCATCTTCTTTAACGTGCAGCAAAAATTCTACATAACTGTTGCGAGGCATTCGTGCTGCTTTTGCTTTCTAAAATATGTGAGATCAAGTTTACAAAGCACTATGTATGAGTTTGAAGCATTACAAACATTGATCATAAACCATTTGCATTTTTAATATGTTCTGAGCATTATATCTGATTGGACATTGATGAAAACTCGTCCATATTGAAGATTTTTTCAGGCAGTTAGGAGTGTTTATGCTGATATGAAAAAGTATATTGTTGTCCATAAAAAACCTGATAAAAACCATTAGATCTATTTTTTTTGTCAGCATTTACACAGTATGACTTCTATCATGCTGGTTTTTTGATAATCTTTGCCTCACTAAATGGCTTGTAAAAGGGTTTAAGACCTGGTTTTCTTATGTCAATAAAAAAGAAAAATACATCTCCAGATTGTCGTGCCATGAAATGAAATGAATTATGTTCTTCAAGCCTCAAGAGTGTATGTTCGTAAGAATTCGAAATAATCAATCCTTACTTGCAATGCCTCAGTTCTCCATATCTTTATGTTCAAATTGGAATCAGACCAGTAACTTTGACAGGATCAAGGTAGTGATGTTTGCAAACGCAATGTGTTCGCCATTGTAAATCTATACTTTTGGATGGTTGGGTTAAATTTGAAAACTGTTTAACAGTTAGTTATTGGAGTTTAAACAGTAAACATTTTTATGATCATTCTTATAAAACAAAAAACTGTGACAAAGCTTCAAGTTTTGAATTGTGTGCTTTATGTAATAATATAGATGACAACAAAACATTGGTGATGGGCCTTTTAACTGTAGGCTATTAATGAAGCTTTGCTGCCATTTTTTCAAGCAATTAAAGCTTCTCCAACATAACTTCTGAAGGGGTTGCCAAAGTCAAATTTGGGCATAACACTAAAATTTCCACTCTCCATTGGGCTGTCAAATTTTGGCAATTGCAAAATCTTGTGCCAAAATTAGGACAAGATTTGACAATTGTCACAATTTAGTAAGAACCTTTGTCTCTACATAATAGGCCAGCAAATGCCATTTGTAATGGGTTTTTTGTGGAAGAAATAGAACAAATGACATTTACACAATTGAAGCATGGTTGCCAAATTATGACATATTGGTAGATGTAAACAAGCTAACCCAAGCCAAACTTTAGGATATTCGAGCTTGCCTTGCTAGAAATTAATTAGTTGATCTCAAGCTGAGCTTAAGTCAAGCTCAGAAAATTGAGCTCAAGCTCAGTTCGTCAAGTATTTGAAAAGCTCAAGCTCAACTTTGAGTTTAAAAGAAAAAATAGAAATTATAAAGAAAATATAAAAGAGTGATGCTTATATGAATAAAATTGCATCAACCAAATTCATAAACTTACACAAATGGATATTCGAGCTTGCCTTGCTAGAAATTAGTTGATCTCAAGCTGAGCTTAAGTCAAGCTCAGAAAATTGTGCTCAAGCTCAGTTCGTCAAGTATTTGAAAAGCTCAAGCTCAACTTTGAGTTTAAAAGAAAAAATAGAAATTATAAAGAAAATATAAAAGAGTGATGCTTATATGAATAAAATTGCATCAACCAAATTCATAAACTTACACAAATACCACACACAAATAAAGAAATTAGGAAAATATATTTGATATATTATTAAAAATGATTATTAATTTATATACTTGTGTTTACGAACTTTGATGATATAAGTAAATGGCTGCCTTATGATACAGGGTGAATGGAGGTTGGCTAGATCATGCGGGGAGTGGTTGATCCTTCTTCTTCTTTTATTTCCTACAAAATTGGTCATTCGGACACACCAGTAGATGTTTTAACCAAGGGCCCTTTGATATTCAAGTTAGAGAATACTTCTTGGAAGAAAACAATGGAAAATTAGGAATTAGATTGGGTACCTTTCTCATATGGCCTACTTCCCTTATATATACATGTGATCCATATCTTTTATAAGTGTCTTCTATGTGACTTGTGAGAGTGGTTCTATTAAGCGGGAGCCTCTATTTGCACACACCAATTCCACTCTTTGCACACACTTAATGAATTTTATTTTTATTACAATTTTATCCCTAAATAAAATTACCATTTTAGACATCTCACACAATTCAAATAAACACATCCTCTCAATACACACACAGACGTTGCAATGCCTCTGCTTCCTCATTTTGCTAAATGATCCACACACACACACGTTACTCCATACCAGAGCTCCAAAGTTACTCCATTCTTCATTAGTCATTAGTGTACACTCCTTGCACAAGCTCCACACTCCTTCCACAAGCTGTCTTCCTCATTCTTCCTTCCTCATTCTTCATTACTTATTTTTGATGGAGGATTTGTCTTCTGAAAATCAGCAAATAAGTATTCATGTGAAGCAGAGCGAAGGAAATGTGAGTTTAATTTATTTTTTTTTTTGCAGCATCGTTCGGATAACCAGAGCCGAATTTTGTTATTTTTTTCGGAAATGTACTACCGAAATAATTATGTATTTTCGGAAGTTGATGTCCGAATAAAGTGATAAATTTCGGAAGTTGTTGTCCGAAAAAGATATATAAATTCGGAAGTTGTTGTCCGAAAAATGTTAACTTATACAACATTCAACTTCCGAAATTTGAAAAAAAATTCGGACAACTACTTCCGAATGAAGTAAATTTTTTTTTTTCCATTTTATATTCCAAATTTGCAAACTGCATACCAAATTTACAGTTTCAAATTGCAAATTAATCTTTATAATGCCATTAAAAATTTGTAATGTTATACAAAACATGCAGGAATATGTGTCAACTCAAGGAAGTCAGGTTTGCGCGAATTTTGTGTTAGATTACACCACTCATTTCACAACTGAACAGGTTCAGTCTACGAAATTATAACGATTATGTTTTGAATTGCTCACCAAATGTAAATGTTTGATAATATTTATTTAACTTTGTAGGTATTCAAAAGTAAGGATGAATTGCTCAACTGGGTACGTGAAGTTGGAAAGAGAAATGGTTTGGTCATTGTAATCAAAACATCAGACTATGGTGGAGGGAAAAAAAGACCCAGGATGTATCTTGCTTGTGAGAGGAGTGGCCAATATAGAGCAACAAAGAAGTTAAAACATGATGGCAACAATACATCAAGAATAACCGGTACGAAGAAGTGTGGTTGTCCTTTTGATATGAGGGCTCACAGGTTTACCACATATGATGAATGGACATTGACTGTAGTATGCGGATTGCATAATCATCCACCTGCGGAGCACCTCGAGGGACATTCATATGCGGGGAGGCTATCAAAGGATGAGAAAGCATTGTTAATGGATATGTCCAAGAGCATCGTTCGGCCAAAAGAAATCCTAGTAACCTTGAAACAGCGAGATGCCCTCAATGTAAGCACACTTAAAACCATTTACAATGTACGCCATCGAAACAGGGTGGTACAGAGAGCTGGAAGATCACAGATGCAACACTTATTGGGTGAATTGGCCAAGTATAATTACATTGAGCGCCATCGGTCTGAAGAGTCCACGATGACTGTGATTGACTTGTTTTGGGCACATCCTACCAGTTTGAATTTGTTACGTGCATTTCCAAAAGTATTGTTAATGGATTGTACTTATAAGACCAATCGATATCGGTTGCCCCTTCTAGAGATTGTAGTTGTGACATCGATAGACATGACCTTTTTCAGTTGCATTTGCATACCTCCAGTATGAGAAGGAGGATAACTATACATGGACACTTGGTCTTTTGCGTAATGTCATGGATGAAAATACTCTTCCTTCTATTATTGTCACAGATAGAGAATTGGCCCTTATGAATGCCATATGTATGGTGTTTCCTGCAACTGAGAATTTGTTGTGTAGATGGCATATTGGAAAAAATGTGCTTGCTAATTGCAAAAAAGATGTTTGAGACAGAAGATAAATGAGAAATGTTTATAATGAGTTGGAATATGTTGGTTATGTCATCGTCTGAAGAAGTATACATGCAATGACTATCTTTGTTATATAGTGAGTTCAATACTTATCAAGATGCACTTCATTATGTTACCTCATCTTGGTTGGATACATACAAGTCGAAATTTGTGGCAGCTTGGACTGACACATTTATGCACTTTGGAAATTCTACAACAAATAGGTAAATATGAACATTTAAATTTATTAGTTGTTTGGTTTTTTATAACAGTTTGTTTTCATATATAGGGTTGAGAGTTCACATGCAAATTTTAAAAGATATCTTGGATCAAGTCAAGGAAATTTTGAGTCGAATTTGACAAGGATACACAATTTACTTGAATTGCAACATAGTGAAATAAAATCATCATTTGAGAAAAACAAGATAGTTGTGCAACATGATTTCAAACCTGCGCAGTTTAAGGAGCTTCGTGGTAATGTCTTAATTACTGCATTAGAGATCTTATTGGCAGAGTCTAAACGAACATCTTCTGTTGGTATTGATATTACTACATGTGGATGTGTTGTTCGACGTACTCATGGTTTGCCATGTGCACATGAGATAGGAAATTACATGAGGGAAAATCGGTCAATTCCCCTCACTTCGATTTATTCATATTGGACTAAGCTTGATATGTTAAGTATCCCACACACTGTAAGTGAAGAGTGGACTTGTACACCTGAGTTAGAATTGTTTCCTAAACGATTCGAGGAGGTGGATCCAGATGTGAAGAGGTTTTTGTTACAAAAATTGAGGGAGTTA